TTGAAGGATCAGCCAAAATATTTTTGAAACCACTTGTCTGTCTAACGGTAACGAAATTAAGAACTACATATTTCATTATTCTAAAATTAAAAGGAATAAAAATTATAAGAGAAATTTACCATCATCTGCTCCTGGGACCTTTTGAAATATTTTAGATTCAGGATCTTGAAATCTTTTTGAACCTCTTTTTGTCGTTGCATTTTTCCCAGATTGTTTTTTATTCGTTGACGTTAGTGATACTGCGGAACTTTGATCACCTTCAGTGATTGTGGTTGGTTGTTGCGCCTTTGTTTTTCTTCTTTTGTTAGACGCGCTTTGTTTTGCAGCTTCTAACTCTGAAATAAAAAACGAAGTTAATTCTGATGAACCATTTGTACAGGTTAAAACAAATATTACCTAACTCAACAACACATAAGCGTTGTTTTAACGCTTCGACTTCGTTTGTTAATTCCAAGGCTCTTTCTCTCCAACGCTGACAACTGTCATCGTCATCATCTGGATCTTTACCATTATTCACCTCATTACCTCCTTGATGCTGTTCCTCAACAATATTGTGGTTTTCTTTTGTTTCAAAAGTGTTCTTGTTACCATCTATATTATCATTAACTTGATTTTTGTCTTTTTGGTCTTTTGGAGATGTGCAATTTACGGATCTAATATATTCTATGTATAAAAAGTATAACAGCTTTTTAAAAAGTTCGTTGCAAGAAAATGTAATGTTAATATTCAATTTTACCGTCTATAGTCCAATCTAATGGCTTATTTCGCAATATCACCAAAGCCTTTAGTTCAAAGTAATTTTATTTTTCAAGATATAAATAATTATATAAAGCAATTCTTTTATTCAAGCAATTATAAGGATCAGAACTTGCCAACACAAGTTTTAGCCGATTATATGATGTGTCATATGGTCTTTTTGAATCAGAGAACGACATTAGCGATATTAAAATCAAATAATAATAATAATAATTTGTATGTGGAAATCGAATTGCTCTAAAGAATCTTTTTATACAATCAAGAAAGTACAATTTGTAAACATTTAATGTGCCATTTATGTTATTTTTATTTTAGTTTTTACTATGTAATCGGAATACCAAAGTAATATATATTATTAATCAACTTGATAATCCGATTATTGAGAGTGGGGACGAACCAAGCTTAGTTTTAAGTTTTGTTGCTATCACGCAATAAACCTAAAATGATAATGCTAAGGGGTACGTCACATTCATGATTATAGTATTATTGATGTTTAAAACACTTCACAATCGCGTTTCACGTAGAATATTTTTACAGTACAGATAGTCATAGCAAGGTTCCCGATCAAGTTGTTTTTTTACGTTAATTATAAACAACATGAGGACAATAACAAAAAAATAGTGCATGTTTTCTGAATTCAATCATTTAATGAAACCGTGATCGAATATTGGTACGTACGTACCATTAACAGTTGACTCTTGTATAGCCTCCAACATCAGAATCTAACTTTAATTGGGTTGTAAACGCGATGGCTAATGATCATAAACTTACAAGAGCCACTATGTAGCTAATTATATACTGTATACATATGTTGTGGAATTTAAGTGGATTTGGAATTTATTAGGATTTTTAGGGTTAGGGCAGTGTTGGGAAGATTACTATGTCCAATTGTTTTCAAAGTTGATTGGACATATGTCCAAAACCAATTGGACATATGTCCAAAGCTAAATATGGCGCAGTTTTTTGTCCAATTTCTCAACACTGGGTTAGGGTTGTACCTAAAATTATAATTTTATTAAGAAATTCCAAGTCACATTCCTACAACATATGTATATATATATTTTTTTTTGAAATCTGAACGTCGATGTTGATATTGGTTTCTGATCAGGTACGTACGTACGTACAGTAAATTATTTTATGCTCGTGTCTTTTTAACATGAAACTTCTGAACAATTGTAAGTAATCATTCTATATGCTCATGTGTTATGCTGGATTTAACCTAAAAACCTGTTCAATAGTCGTAATTTAACGTTAACCATCATTTAATAATGAAACATTCATACTTCGTATATATGCTAGACGGATTATCGGGTCTATTACAGATATACTGTATATCGATAATCTTTTTGTAGCAAATATGCTATTGGAATATGCAAAGGCATAAGATGATTATACTCACTTCATTTTCGCTAAACATTTTGCAGTAATCCAAAGAATGTTCATCTTTGAAACAAAGTTCTTCGACCATTATTCTGTAAATCTTCTGTTGCTTCCTAAATTTTTGTCATGATGTGAAAAAAGATTATCTACATCGGTGAGCTCCGAATTCTCCTTATTAAGGGCACTCTATCGACACAGGATCATTTGTCGCTTACCTCTTTAGGCTCAACGGAAATCTCTTACGTACATTTCATATACATACGTACGTACGTACGTAATGTCTTAATGCAATTTATTTGATTGTCAAAGATAACCCATGATCTTTTTAAGAAAAAAGAAAAATTATATAATATTTTCAAAAAAAAAAAAAAAAAAAAAAAAAACCATTTGCACTATTACGTAGTCGACTACAACTAGAAAGACTAATAGAAAGACTAATTTAGTAATGATTTGATGATTTCTTGATTTGTCTTTATGTCCTTTTTTTTAACATCAAATTAATCAATTTAATGCCTTATTATTATTTGCTATTATTATTGTTATTTGACAGTTTGGCAGCACTGGTTTGCCTGAATCATATGAATTCTGCATTCGAGGTGGTATCTGGTCATAAGACAATCGACTTGCATGAACTGACAGCTTTTTTTTTTAAAACTATTATAAAAAGGTGAGAAAACCCCCGTATCGGTATCTTACTTTCCTTCTACCGTCTTGTCAAAAAATAAAAAAAAATAACGGTTGGTTAAATGATTAAAAAAATTCTTATTACATTCTCTTTTTTTTTTTTTTCTTAATGTTATTAGATAAAAGATAATGGCATGCACCCTGTTATTTTAATATTCGGGCTTAGGGTAGCGTTAGGGCTATTGTTCTATGTGGCCTGGTCCTCCGATTTTAGAGAACACAATTTCCATCAACAATTAATAATTTTTAATTGATATATCGATATCATTATCAATTATTAAAAGTAATATTAAGGCAGTCGTGATCGTGATTACGTATTAGTGTAACATATACGGTCTATAGATGTGGGTTGCATTATTATTGTTACTGTATCGGATTATTTGTTTTAACATTTCAATTCTTTTCTCTCTTCTTTTCAATAAACCGGGCACAGACTCTCAAAAAAAATTAAAGCTTGCATCGATTACTTTATCCAATATTCGTCATGGTGACTGTTTTTAAAACAAAATGCTGTTACGAGTTCCTTTTATCGAATGTTTCTAAGATTAATACAACGGTGTATAGCCCTCCGTTCGGAACGTCTCACGACATGTTTTGGCAACTCGAGTTCATACCAGTATGTTCAATTAACTATCTTTACAATTTAAAGATACTCTTGATCTTTTATGCTTTAATTGGACGTGTCTGCCTTTTTTTTATCTATTCTCCTTTTTTATATTCTCAATTATTAATCTTTTTTTTGTTTTTTATCCTTTTTTCTTGGTTCGAACGAATTCTTTTGTTTTTTATTTTTTTTTAGTCTTCCGTTGAAGAACCTGACCATTGTGCCGCATTCCTTTTTGCAATTCCCAATCATGATGAAGCAAATTGTTCTGGTGTATGGTCAAGGAGGAGTGTACTAACCGCAAAAATATATTTAAAAAATGCCAAAAATCAGACTTTCCTTAAAAAACAATCCGTCAAAATGAATTCATTTTCTGCAAAATTATCTGGTTGGGGTATGCATTTTTAATTTTTATTTATACTATGCATCATATTGTAAGTTATCGTTTATTTTCTAATTAACTCTATTTCTCGTCATTTAATTGTTTCAATTGTTCTAAAGGTTGGGAGGCTTTCTATAATAAATCTAGTTTACCTGAGCACGTTCTCTTTGGTGTAGAGTTTGACCGTGCTGAAATGGGTCTAGTTTCTCAAAAATGGCCACTTCCAAGCAATCAACAATTAAGCGAATCAATCCCTCAAGACTTGGTGAAAGCATGGGAAGGTCAATTAAACAATCCCGCAACCTCTGATTGTCAATTTAATGTTCAAGGTCAAATAATTTATGCTAATTCTGCAATACTTTGCGCGAGGTCTAAATATTTTGAACTTGTATTTCGAGGTCAATGGCTAGAATCTGATATTACTAAACAAGAAATTTTACAATCATCTACCAAAGATCAAAAAGATTATAATAATAATAATAATAGTGTTATTTCACAAAGATGTAATCATGTCATTGATGTTACAGATTTTCATCATCAAACATTTCTGGAAATGTTACGCTTCTTATACACCAATAAGGTTACTTTTGTTGAGAAAAAAGATGAACAAAATTCACAACTCACTCCTTTGGATCTTTTCCGGATTGCTGACAAATATCTTATCGATGATCTGCGTCAGCATGCTAAGTCGGAGATATTTAAAGATTTAAATGTTAACGATGCTGCTGAATTCCTTTTTGGTACTGCCTGGAAGTATCCTGAATTGAAAGAGCAAGCAATGAAATATGTAGTTCTTAATTTCGTTACCGTTAGACAGACAAGTGGTTTCAAAAATATTTTGGCTGATCCTTCAA